CCCCCCCCCCCCCCCCCCCCCGCCCAAGCAAAAAAATGAATTTCCCTGATATTTATAGAAAGATTATTAGGGCCACTAGGAGTGATTTATATCATCTCATCCCTGTGGCCAAGAATGAAAAATTGCTGGGGCTACAGCGGCTGGAATCCTGCTTTTGTCCTCCTGACAATTAAAACGGCTAATTTCCAACTCCAACAGATCCTCTGGTGTTATAAATCACTCCAGGAAGGCATTTTTTCAGCCTGAAAAGTGAACTCTGCCCTAATCAGGCACAAGATCAGAGATCTGCATCTGTTTGCTTTCGTGTGTAAATGTATGTCCTCTTGCTCCACGCCCACCCACCAAAGGGGATGTGGGCAAGGAGGTGCTGCCCCTGCTCACTTGATGTTGGGTCATCAAACTGTGCTGGGAGTTGGAAAAATGTGACAGGGAAAGCAGGAAGGGAAGATGACACTGAGGTCAGAGAAAATCCAGTGACAGTTCTGTCCAGTTTCTGATGCCACAAGCCTTGGAGAGTTTTGCTGGGTCTGGGTCCATCTCCATGCAGAAGGGCCACCTGGGAGCACATGTTGGACCACACTTCCTCCTGTGCCATGCTTATGGTAGGAGCAATCCCACTAGAAGAGGGCAGGGGGGCACAGCAGCTCTCCCACAGCTTTGCTTCCAGGAGAGAGCAAACCTGAGGAATCACAGGAAAATGAGGCAGCACCGATGCCACAGATTCCCTCAGCCTCCTGGCTTTGGGGTCTCCTGGGGCAGAGACTGCAATACAGGACTGCTGGAGGGGAATACAGGGGTCGGGTATTTGGTCCTTCTGAACCAACTCACAGATCTTTACAGTGGTGGAGCTGGACCCAGCCCTCCAGGAGGCCCTTGCTGGTGTCCCCTCCCACAGCGGCATGTGCCTGGCCCCACACACACCTTGCACCCACTCTTTAACATGATGGAAGACCCTTTCCTATCTACCCCAGGATAACTCTCAGACCAATGGTCGCAGACAGGAAGAGTTTGGGATAGAAGCATTTATTCTGCCCATCCTTCCCACTCTACGTAGCTGGGGACCTGCGGGAGCCAGCGCCAGTCCCAGCAGCCCTTGGGTCTATTCCAGCCCAGTGCCGGACGTCCTAACCTTGAGTCAAGCCTCCCTAAGACAAACCCTCCACTTGACATTTCCACGGAGCTCAAACAAAGGCCCCCGCACTCATATTTGTGCTGCTCCCCCTCTCCACGTCCCAGGAAGAAACCGAGCGCAAACAAATCTGTGTGCAGGGCTCTCCCGGGGAGCTCTGTACACACACATCCCACACGCCTGCTGCTGGTCACCCCACTTCCTTATCACAGTTTGTACAGTCGGCAGCTCACAGCCTGCCCAGAGGGCCCCCCGGGAAAGCTCCCCACACCCCCCGGACGTGGGGCTCGGCAGCAGCCCCGGGAGGGTGAGGGATGGACACAATGACCTTGTTTCATGAAAGCTCAAATGTTTTTCTTTTTTTGTTTTCCTCCCTTTCAAACCCCTGCCAGCGGTGGGGGTGTTTTGGAGAGGCCAAACGACACATTTGGGAAGCGTGAAGCCAGCCAGCAAAGGCTTGGGCTGCCCTGGGCCTCCACAGGAGGCTGGCTGTGCCAGTTTTTGAGAAAAGGCATCTGTCCTCAGCCCTTCTCCAAAGAGGCAAGAGCCCCTTGCGGCCATCCCTCCCCTTGCAGGCACTGCAGGCAGGAAGCAGGGAGACTCACCCATGCAGGAATCCCGCTGCTCTTCGTAGCCAGCACTGCACACGCACTTCCCGATGGGCACCAACCACTCTCCCTCGGCGCTGCAGTACATCTTGGGGGTGTCCCTCTCCTCCGAGTGGCCCACACACTCTCCCCGCACTTCCACCAGCGAGGACGAGTCCGCCCCAGTCACGGCCTCAGAGAAGGATGCCAAGTTCCTCACTGTAGCCGGGCACTTCTTGTAGTACACCCGCACCGAGACGATGGCAATGCATGCCCCGATGTCCTGGAAGGCCAGGTAGAACCCCCTCTTGCTCAGTGGCCCCACGCCCCGCACCTCCGTGTTCAGCTTCAGGCGCCGCACCCCCAGGTCCACGTTGGTGAAGCTCTCGTCCGCTGCGATCGTGTCGATCTTCATGAACTGGCTCTCCCGGGTGCTGGTGCCCAGGTCCCGGTCGGACTCCATGTAGTAGAGATTGAAGGTCTCCTTGCAGGTGCCCAGCACACCTGGCATGCTGTTGCAGTCCCTCAGCGTGAATTTGATCTCCGCGTAGACCCGCCGCGCGCCGTCCCGCTGAACCCAGTTGGTCCGTAGCCAGTTGTTCTGGTTGGGGGTCATGACATTACAGACCTGGTAGGTGTGGATGGGGCTGAAAAACTCATCCATCTCATTGATCGAATCCCACTGTGGGACAGAGAGAGAACAGGTCATTCCGGATGTCCCCAGCCACCAGCTGAGCACAGAGCATGCAAAAGTCTGCCGTCTCCCACCCCAGGATGAACTCCCTCTGCTCCTGTGCCTGGCTGGGAGGTCACTGCTGCCACAAGGCAAAGGGAAATGAGGAGGAGCAGCATTTAACCAGCACTGATTTGGGCAGTGACTCCCAGCCCACTCTGCTGCAGCTCTGTGTGAGGTGCACCCTGTTTATTCCCGTCTGGGAACGCTTGCATGAGGTTGATGTGCTGGCAGAGGCTGATGGCAGCATGTGCTTGGGAGGGCTCCAAACCCTCTAGATCACGCCTGTGAGTCCCTTTTCTTGGTGCTCAGCCCATCACTGGCAGCAGCAGGAACCACCTGTGTGGTGCTCACCTGGGTCTCCTCTGGCTCATGCACTGTCCATGCACAAACTGAACTGGGTGCTTTCCGTCTGGGGAAGGAATTTCAGGGTGGGTAGCACAGGGTGAAGGGGAAGCATGCAGTGAACACGGGACTTCCAGCAAGAAACAGGGGCCCGTGGGGGCTCAGACCCTCTTCTTCCCCACAAGGTGATGCCAGCGTGGCTCCTCGGTGTGAACCCACAGTGCTCAACCCAGCTGAGAGGCTGGATGGGGAGGGAACACAAAGGTTTGTGGCTTGACAGCTCTCGGGTGAAAATTCGATGTTGCAGTGGCAGCAGGGGGAGTCTGGGGAGGAGATGCTGGCAGAAGCATGTTGCAGCAAGCAGGATTGCAATGAAGGGTGGTCTGGGTGAGTTTAGAGGGACAGTGACATGGGTGTCACACAAGGGAGGGATGCTAAAGGGTTTAACTTATGAGAAATGAGAAGTAGTGATATTTTGAATACAAATGAATTCCATAGCTGAGGGACAAGTAGAACTTAGATATTGTAGGCTACAGGACACTTTGGGGGGCTCACTCTTGCCTCGGGTCTCCCTCTCGAACCTCAGCAACCCCTTGCCAGGACTCACAGACCTTCCCTTCTCACCCACCACCTCTACAGCTCACACTCCTGCCCAAACCAAGCACTCTGATCACACCCTCATGGATGGGTCTGGGACTCCTGAATTGTTCTGGGAAAAGGGGAGGAGGTGGAGGAGCAGAGGAGAACTTCAAACCTTCTGACTTTTCCCTGGACTTGGAAACAGGCTTTGAAGATGCCTGAGCTCCACTCTCATGCCCAAGTCCAGCTGTGAGGGGCAGCCCCAGATGCACTGCTGCAGAAGCTGGGGAAGATACTGGCACTGCTGCAGCAATTGCTCCTCTGCCTTCCAAATCATCACCCCTCTCCTCACACCTACATCAGCACCCCCCTGCCTGCACCATCCTGGGGTCCTGGCTCTGCCTGGGAGCTGGCAGGGAGCAACCCCCACCTCGGCACCGTGTGTACCCAGCTGTCTGGGGGGAATGGGGAGCCAAGGAAAGCTCCAACCATGCCTGCACAGAGCAGGAAAACAAATCTTTCAAGCAGCATTACAAGCACATTAAAATAAACTGCCAGGCTTGCCCTGACAGGGCAAAACTGGTGTTTTCTTATGCAAGTGGTGACCCGTGTTTCATTACAGATACAAAACCAACAGCAGTCCTGAGAGAAGGATGCTCAGCTCGGAGACAGTGAGCCTGTGACTGTGGGAGCTGACCAGGATGCAGATCCACTGGGACAGGCACCTGCCAGCCTTGCTGTGTGGCCACCAGCACTGCAGGGACAGGACACAGCTAGGAGAGGGCAGCACACCTCCAGAGCGTGTGAGATACTGGAAAGATGTATCAGTGGTACCTGTAAGACAACCCACTCCCTTCTCCCCTCTCAGATGGGAATGTCCTTCCTCATTCGACCTCCTTGACCTGCAGCTCCTGGGGAGGTGGTGTGGTGCCTTCTGCTCGTGTGAGGGTGATCAGAGCAGTCATTTTGGTGAGGTACATCTTCAAAACTTCCCCAGCATCATGCATTTAGGAGAAAACTCTGCTCTCAGCTCCCAAAGAGCTTAAAGTAACCTGGAACAGGCAGTAGCTCCAGGTGCAAACTAACACAGAAACTCATTCCAAGGGAAATATGTCTGCAAAGGGGGTGAAAGTCAAGCCACTGCCAGAGGAGAAAAATGTTTCTGGTTCATTTTAAAAAAACTTGTCTTCTGAATTCCAGAAACGCCCAGGTTTGTCTTGGGGATCACTGAGCTCAGGTAGACAACATGGCAAGGGGCCAGGCTACCAGTGTGCTTGGCTGGAGGGGTGAGGGCAGCACCCCTCAGCTTCTCCAGCCACAGAGACGAGCCTGTAGAAGGTGCTGTGACACCCAGGACACTCCCCTGCTGCTTACCCAGAGTGTACAGTGCCCAGGCACGGCACAGCCCCTCTGCCTCTCTCTGCTCCCACACCCGCCTGCGCACACGCTGAGGCTCTTCCGAGGGTGTGGAAGTCGCTGTCGAAATTAATCGAGCACAAATTAACACAACATCTGCTTCCTGTCTTTTCCCTGCTGAGTTTCCCCGGGGGAAGTGAGGCAGAGCCGAGCATGGGAGGAGACACGTGGGGAGAGGGCAGAGCTGGGGGGGGGTGAGCAGGGATTACCCTCCCGATGCACAGCCCGCTCCCCTCGGCGATGCCTGTGGGGCCAGGGCTCTCCAGGAGCGTCCAGCAAGGGAAAGATGAGGTTATTGTGTGCACCAAAATGCTTTGGCTCCAGCTCGTGTGGTTGCTTTGCGTCTCCAGACATTCACTTCTCTCCCAGATCTGGCATAGGAGATGCAGCTCACGACTGCAGTGTCCCCACACCCTCGTGGCACTGCCAGAGCTGGCAGAACAGGGAGATATAAATGCCCACCTCCAAGCACGGGCAGCAGTCGGCGTCAGCCCCATCTCCACCCCCCGGGGTGAACCTGGAGTGTTTGCATTTGCACTATCACTCTTTCAAACGTGGTGCTTTTTTTGCACAGGGGCTGCACTGTCAGTTCTGTCCTGGGGTTGTAGGCAGTGCCTTGGGATCCCAGTCTGAGACCAGCCCCAAACACCACACCTGCCCTGCAGGGAAAGTGCTCTATGACTGTTGGAAACGGAGAGGGGCAGGCAGGTCACCTGAACGCATGGCTTGGATGCCACAGGTGCATCTTCCCAGCATGTCACAAGGCAAGTGAGGTCTCATGAGCTCTGCCAGATCCCAGGACCTGCAGGGTATTTGGAATCATAGAATCCCAGAATGGTTTGGGTTGGAAGGGACCATTTTGTTCCACCCCTCTGCCATGGGCAGGGACACCTTCCACTAGACCACAGTGCTCCAAGCCCCGTCCAACCCGGCCTTGGACACTTCCAGGGATGGGGCAGCCACAGCTTCTGTAGCCAACCTGTGCCAGGGCCTCAGCACTCTCACAGGGAGGAATTTCTTCCTAATATCCAATCCAAATCTACCCTCCTTCAGTTTAAAGCCATTCTCCCTTATCCTATCACTGCCTGCCCTTGCTAAAAGTCCTTCTACAGCCTTCCTGTAGGCCCTTTTAGATACCAGCAGGGGGATGGAGGGACCTGCTTCGGGAATCCCCGTGACTGGAGGGGTTTTTCTGTTTCACCTCAGTTACAGGCTCCATGGGCAGGGAGAGGTGTCTGTGGCTCTGGGTACCACTGGATGAGGAGTGCAGGCCCTGTGCACACCCCCAGCATCACCAGCTGATGGGTTGAAGTGGTTTTATTAACCAAAGCTCAGCTCGGCCCATCCACTGCGATAAGATCCCCCAGTGAGACGGAAATGAGGACATCATAATTAACATGGTGAGCACATGTGCCCTGGGGGGGTGGAACATGATTGCATCTCCACTCAGGGCTTTTGCCTAATAGTTTAAATTAAAGTCAACACCGGTTGTAAAAAAAATTGCCAGATTATGAAAGGCAAAAGATGCAAACACCAGATATGTGGGCAGCTGAGCAAGGTCTTAGAAGTCTCCCAGGGCCTGTGTGGCACAGCCGAGGAGAAGGAGGAGGAGTGGAGGATGGACTGTGTCCCCCTGGAGCAGCAGCTCAGCCTCCCACCATCCTTGCAGTGCCAAGGGACAAGGTCTCCCTAGTCCTGGGACAGCTTCCAGGAGGGATGCCAGGTCTGCCTGGCATAGCAATGCTTTTGTGGCCACTGAGACATCCAGCACTTTCCTTCCCAGTGAGCCACAACACTTCCCCAGGAGCTGCCAGGTCCATCACACCACTGTTACTGGGAGACAAAAAAAAGAGAAGGATGTTATTGCAGCTATAAATCATCAGATGGGAGGCCTTAATGGAGATAATCCCCATGAAATCAGTCACTGCTGTGGCTAAGGAGGGATTTGTCAGGCAGTTAACTACCCTGAGCTTCACTGCAGGTGATTAACTCCTGGTAGTGACCAGCATCTGGGGAATTAGCAATAACCCAGCATTTACTGAACAAGCACTGGGAGATGAGCTTTTATCTCAATTACTAGTCTAAATCTTTATTTTCCAATGTTCCCTTCCAACCCATCTTTTTTTTTTTTTCAAAGAAAATTAATTTCACCACAGCTTGAGCTGTAACTTGCTGATATTCCTGGATCCAGGCAGAGGCTTCAGCTTGGAAGAGAAACACAAGAAATGCAACAAGGACATCAAAGTGAGGGAGGGCAGAGACAGATGGGAGAGCCCCAACATCTCTTGGTGCTCTGAGGAGAAAGAAATGACCCTGAAGGGAGTTGAAATGGCAAGGACACGGAGCAGCTTGGGCTGGGGGCTGGTGTTTTACAGGGTGGGCTTGGGGCAAAGGGTCCCCAAGCTCTGTGACAGACAAGGTGCATCCAAGCCATGAACTGGTTGTTGGCTGCAGGACCATAGCCAGGCAAAAGAAGTCCCCTGGTGCATAGGCTTTGCTCTGCAAACAGCTCAGTCCCAGGACATTTACAGCATCGTGAAATCCCCGTCCCTGATGCACAAACACTGCTGGGAAACAATCCTACAGGCTCATCTGTGCTCTCAGCTGGGTGTTTCAGCAAATCTAGTGCCTCTCTAACAGTTTTCTCCCTGGGCACTGTAGGATGAGGAGGAGCATTCTTGGCTAACTGTGCCCAGGGGCCTCAGGATACACCCCTTTAGGAGGAGCGGAAGGGGCAGAGATGGGGAGCTGCAAACCTCCTCTGAAGGTCTGTCCTGGTGCTTCCACCAACAAAGCCAACATGGAATATGCCAGGTGGGATTGGTGGGAATTGTGTAGGGCTGGGAGCTGGACTCGATGACCCTTGTGGGTCCCTTCCAGCTCAGGACATTCCATGATTCTGTGAGAGGTGTGGAGGCAGCTGCCTGGGTGGCAGATGCCCACCAGCCCTCTGGGCTGACTCCAGCCCTTGCAGTGAGGGGGCTGTTGTGGGCTCAGAGCGTGGAGGTGCTGATGGGAGGTCACAGGCAGCATGAGGGGGCCTTTCTCCAGCACTCAAGGTGCTCCTGTTCTAATAAGCTTTTGCAAGGCATCACTCAAGCTCCTTAGATACCCTGTGTCTGAACAAAACCATTTCCTGTTTGACTTTGTAAATCAAAGTGGACGATACAATAATTATTAATAATATGTTGACTTATCTCATCAGCATTTTAATTAGTCAGTAGAAAAGCAATTTGCAAAGGGGCCCATCAGGCCCCCTCTGATCCAGAGGGCCGTGTGCCGAGCAAGGAGAGGGGAGAGAGAGGCACTGGGGCACTGGGGCATTTTGCTGGGGAGAACTGGGATAGGGGGAGGTGTGGGAGGGGAAGGGGCAGCCTCTTTGACGGCACTGATAAGAGTTTAATTTTCAATGCAGAGGGAACTGTTCTGGGAAAGGAGCGAGCTGAAAAGCTCCTGGGAGACCTTTGAAGTTCTAATTGAGAGGAGCCGCAGCCTGCGGGACAGGGACGCTCCCGGTGACCCTTCCGCTTCCTGCACGTGTCTCCAGGGTGGAGGTGAGGGGGGGTTGCGATTAAACCCCTGAGCAGCAATTACAGCCAATTACCCCTCAGTTAATTGTCTGGCAAGAGAAAATGTCAAAACAGGCCAGGCATGGCTCCCTGATGGCCTGACACTGCCCAGGGCCCACAGCTCTGCTGACTCTCCCCATGCCCACTGCTCCCAGCCCCTGCTCCTCCATTCTTGCTGGTCCACAGCAAACCAAGAAGGGAAACAACCTTCCAGTGAGGCAGGTTCACTGTGCCCACAGGTGGGATGAAAACATCAGGACTTTGTGGGTGGCACCCTTCCAGTTTTGCAGTGCTGATGCTTTGGACTGTTGCCCTGGCTGTGTGGGCAGCTCTGGGAGCAACCAGTCCAGAGGAGGAAACCTCTGAGGCTGCTGCCTTTCCTCTGGCACCCCCAGAAGACCCAGAGAGGTGGTACAGAATGTGCAGGTGCTGGAAAAGAAAGCTGTAGGGCACTAGGCAGTGAGCTAGCAGACTCAGGTCCCTTCCTGAGGCTCCTCAGGCTGGGGACCAAGGCTCTGTGCTGCTTAGGGCCATGCAAAGACCCAGGCAGAGCTACCCACCTCCCAGTGTCACCCATGTGGTGGCCCTGGGGGAAAATGGAGATGTGGGTAAAGCAAAACAAACATGACTTCAGCTAGGGAGACAGGGTCAGCAGTGCTCTCCCTTGGCAGGAGGATGCTGTGTCTGTCTGTGGATGGCACAGATACACTGTGAGGAAATCTTGCACCCTTTTAATTATTTATTATATTTATTATTATTGTATATTTTTAGCAAACATCACTAATAAGATGGAGACTTTAGATGTATTAGTGTTCAGGACCTGCTGGTGAAGGGCTGCTGGGCATCTACTGTAGAGGACTGCCCTGAGACACAGCCCCAGCACCCTGTGGTCATCCAGTGCATGACACCTGACAGCTCAAATGAGTTGGGACCCTGGATTCATCCCCTGGATTCATCCCCGGGATTTGCGAATGTGCAGTACAGGATGCTGCACCTTAAGTACCCATGGAAGTCCCTGATGTGGTGAGAATGAGGCTCCTTTGGGCTCAATCCTTTGTCTGCTTTGGGAGTGCAAGGCCATGCCCAGAACAACCAGCTCAGGTGGATTCATCTTCACCCAAGTCCCCTCGGTGATGTGATGGGTCCCACCTGCATGACAGCAGGCAATGGGCCTGGAGATGGGGGTGACCCCATCTCTGTGAAGAGGCATCAGGAGAGCTGGACTCATGGAAGAGGATCCAGGAGAGCCTTGGGCAGGCTGTGAGTGGCAGAGGATCTGACTATGTGGAGGAATAGCCTAGGGAGCGATGAAAGGCAGAGCACTGGATGTGGGCAGAGGAAAACATCCCTGACTCACAGAAAATCCCAGAAAAGTTCTCCTTCCCAAGGGAGCAGAGGAAGCCCTGGTCCCTGACTCCCCGAAGGTGTGTTGAGCTCCTCCAGGATGCCAGGTTTTGGCAGCAGGGCTGAAATGAGATGACAGCTGAGTAGTGACAGGACAGAGATCCACACAACCAAGGGCAGCCTATGGATGACCATGAAGAGGACAACATCTGCCTCATGCAGGCAGTGGCAGAGGAAAGTCTGGTGGCTGGAGACAAAGCCAGGCAAACCCTCATAGCGATGGGTTTTTAACAGGGGCCTGTTAACAGCATCACCACAGGACCTGGATTATTTATCAGCACTGGCAATTTTGCAGCCAAGGATGTTTTTTCCTAAAAGCTGGGCTGCTCTGAGAGCTGAATGAACTGACAGGCCTGAAGGCCTGTATTTATGCAGGAGATCACATCACATTAGTTCCGCGGTCCCCTCTGACCTTGTACCTCTCAATCTATTACATTCCCAGGACACTCATTTGCAACAGCTAACTGCTAAAATTAGAGCTGAGTTAACAATTTAATATATTTACATATACGATAAAGTCTGATAGAAATCTGATCATTGGTATTATTATGAATTCACCGTTCTGATCACTCCTGCTCAAGCAGCGCAGGGACTGAAAGTCTCAAGCAACAGATCAATGAAAATTATTAGAGGCCTGGGAAGATTTCTGTGGGAGGTGGAATTGAAAAGATTAGGACCGTTTAGTTCAGAGAAAGGATGAAAAAGAATGGACATGAAAAATCAAAACAGTAGCAACAGCCAGGTAGGCACCCCAATTTTGCACGTTCCATGCCTGCAGCAAGCCCCACTGTGCCTTGCAGTAGGTCCTGTGGGTATTTATGGGATTGTTTCTGTTCTCTAAATGAATGAGAAAAATCCTTCCAGCCAGGTCACTCTGACATCTGTAGCTCTTATTTCCAGAAAGCTGCTGCAGCAGAAAAATCTGGCAAGTGAAGGGGGCATGGGGAGAGGATCCAGCCAGTGTAGGTGGCAGGCTCACATGGGGGTCACCACCCCAACATCCCTCCCAGCCACGCCACAGGGTTTTGTGTCTGCATCCCCATTCCCCATAAGGAACCATCTGCAGGGGAGGCCCCCTGACCCTTTTGCCCAGTTCCCACAGAAACTTCTCTGATTACAGGCAGTTGGGAGCTTCCCAGTTGTTTATGGCTGTTCCCTCTGATGCAGCAAGGAATGAGATGCTTCTTAGCATGAGTCCCACCTCTTGAGTCCCCTCAAAACTCAGGACCTGGTGACAATCTGGTCCCTAGCAGAGGACATGGAGGGTTACATGGCATTTCCAAAACAGCTGCTTCCCACTGCTAGTCTTTTAGGCTGGCATTTTCCCAACAGACTTTGTCTCTTTGTCCCATAAGCACTGACCTGGGGCTGAGATGTCCATTCCCTGTCCATCCCCTGACCCCCTGTGGACCCATGGTGACCTGTTCCACTGAGTTCCCTCTGTGCCAACAGCCGCTTCATACTTACCCCATGTGAGGGATAAGTCATCCAGCCCCAGTCCCCCGGGATTGTTGACGTGTCTAGCAAGTTCACTGGAAAACACAGGAGCAAAAGGCTGTGTTAGAAAGCTTTGTCCCCATCTCCAAGGGGTGAGGAACCAAGGCACCAAGAACCCCCTCCACACATGACACTTGCTTGAATGTTCTCCCCACCACCACCATCAATCTGCTGGCAGGGACTGCCTGGTTGGACGTGAGGAAGGTGTGGATGAGGGGATGGCAACAAGTGGTGCTGCCCAGAGCTGGTCGATCAGGACAGAGTTGAGTCCAGGCTCTGCAACAGAGCAGTGCGACCTTTTGGGGGAGAGTGGGCTGCAAACAGCAGGTCAGAGGGAATGCAGAGCAAGGAGGGCCTGTGGAAACAAACTTCCAACACCAGGTTGTCAACCATTCCCACCTTGGGCCAACACTGATGCAACTGGAGCATCGTTCCTCAGCTGGACACTTCTCCTCTGGAAGCCCTTTAGGCTCAGCTCCCTCCCATCATCCCTGGTTTGAAGTCTGCGCTCCAGCAGCTGCTGTAATTGCACACTGCAGTGCCTAGCTCCAGCACAAAGTGACCCCCCATGGTCCTGGCTGACACCCCACTGGAGAGGTCCATCAAAGCCAAGCCTTCCAAATCCCTGCCACCACTGGGAGCCCAGCTTAACGAGGAGCCACAGGCAAACTGCAAGAGGAGAGCAGCTTGTGGGGGGGGAGAAGTGAGGACGGCTTTGAATGTGCTCAGGAGCTTCCTGTGGAAACCTGTGCAGTGTCAGCAGCGGGGGAAAGCAGGATGCCATGGCCCTGCTGCCTCAGAGCCATCCGAGCCCCACACCCAGATCCCACAGCAGCAGGCAGAGGAGAGCCTTGCCAATGCCTGATAACCCCCTGACTTGCTCAGCACCTGAGGAAGGAGCCCAAGCCCCAGCTCCACAGTGCAGATTCAGAGGGATGGAGGCTTGGGAGAGGGTGCCCTGACCCTTGGGAGTGAGTGCAGTGGGCACCAACACCAGCACCCTGATGCCTCATCACCCCTCAACAGCACCAGGCTCCCACAGGGCCCCCAGTGCCTCCAGCTTTCCCCGTTGCTCCTTGTCCTGCAGCCACCCCATAAGGTGCTGCATCCGTGCTGGCTGCCTTTCCTCACCCTTGAGCAGCTTCACACTGGACCTCAAGGCACCTTGTCACAGCATCCCTCTGCAGCACCAGGTCTGGGCTGGTCCCTGGGCTCTGGAGGGACACTGGTCTTGGTGCAAGGCCCAGCTTTGTCTCAGCGGGGACGGGGCACGTAAGGACAGCAGCTCCAGCCCTGGCAGAGCCCGAGCTCAGCGTGAGGCTGGTCCCTGCAGCCCGAGGAACGGGTGCCACTTTCATTTACTATTACCAGGCAGGGAAGGAGAGGGGGGGAGAGGGGAGCAGAGACGTGAGCTGGCTGTGAAACACCCGTACGTCATGCTTCTGACAGAGCAGATTAGGAGCTTTTGAGGCATTTATTAATGTTAGCAGAACAATTTGAAAGAATTTCCAGGGTTTCTTGTGTGGCTCCATTGGCCCAACAGCAGGCTGAGCCCCTCCGCTCCCCACACGGCACTGCTCCCACTGCTAAGGAGGCCCCTTGCCCTCAGTATGGAGTAATTACCTCGAAGATCTCAAATCCATTTTTATTTGTTATTGTTAATCTGAAGATTTTCTGCCTATTTTCCCTGGGTAATTCGCCCAGCAGGAGCCCAGGTTTGGGAGTTTCCCTGCTCACAGAGCAGGAGCACGGTCCTGGTGACCCTCAGCGGGCAGGTTGCAGGGAGGGGGCAGTTTTCACAGACCCTCTCTCCCCCCCCACCGTGGTCTCCACACCCTCTTTCCCACGCCGAGATGCTCTGCAGTGGATGTGGGTGCCTCCCACTGTTCCCCAGGCAGCACGAAGAGCCTGCGTGGACCAGGATCCAGTGGGAGCATCATGTCACAAGGAACAATGTTGAGACCACATAGTGGGGTGTACCCCAGACTTGTCTGCACAGGGGTGTGTGCAAGCTGGAGCCTCCTTGCCACACCCATATGCTGACCACGTCGTTTTCACCCAGTCCCACAGAGATGGAGGAGTCATCTCCTTGTGGGTGCTTTGGTGCCCACCATCTTGCATCCGTGGCCAGATTCCTCATGTCTCTTTGCAGGGAGAGGGATAAGCTATTTCATTTTACTCTCTCACAAGCAGTTCAGCCAAGTGCACGGGAGCCCTGTGCATTAAGCCCACTGTGGCAGGCTCTGTACAAACATAAAGGCATTGCGTGTCCGAGAGCTCTTGCGTTAACTCCTGGTATAGCACACACACCCGTGGATACAAGTGGCCATCCAGCAGCACTGCGACGTGCCGTGCTCGGATACAGGCAGACCAACAGTCTCCCAAAACCCAACCTGTTACAGCCCAACTCTGGAGGGAACCATGCGACAAGTGCCCATCCAGCCCCTCGCAGGTGATCTCCCGGCTGCGCCGCTTCTCCAGGGGTGACGCTCAGAGCCCGCCCTCGCTGCCGGAGGGCGAGCGAGACCCCCACAAAGGACCCCTTTCAGCTGAAACTTTTTATTTTTTTTTTTTTTTCCAGAAAATGTGTCGGTTTGGGAGACCTCTCTCTCCTACAGCTGGGCGATTCTGTTTGATGTTATGGACTGTCTGCACGTATCAGTCTCAAACTGCGAGCTCCATTTTGTTTTCCTGAGCACCATTTTGTCGCTCCCCTATTCTGTGCCTTGGCCTTGCCTCGGCGTATTGAGCCAAAACACCAGGAGGTGTCAGGGGAAATTCTCGCCCTGGTGGAAAAGCTGTCAAGCCTGATTGCCCTTTCAAATGGAAGCACCTAGGAGCGAGCAGGTTGCTTCCCAGCACCAACTGGGGTCTGGAGACGGAGGCTCACGTAAGGCAGACCCTCTTGCTGCAGAAAGTTGTAATGGGGCGTGAGTAGTGCACATTGCAGCCTCATAGCCAAAGATTAGACAGGAGTCAAAGTGTATGAATCTGTATATGATGTATATGTATATTGTATTTCTACTTCTGCCTTTATTTTTGGATCTGTATCTATATTTGTGTCCGTACCCATATCTACTAAATCCCAAACACTGCTTGGGATGAATGAGGAAGCTGAGGCAGGGACTAACATCCAGAGGACGTGAGTTTTTCCTGGAACCATCTCTCTCTTGTCATATATCTACACCTATCTCTTATATCTATGTTTATATCTGTATCATTTATATCTATATCAATATCTATATTTATACCTATATCATCTATAAAGAGTGAGTGCTCAGGTATCCTTTGCAGCACTTACACTGGTGGCCACAGCTCCTGCAGGGATGTATTACATCCCTACAAACAGATGCATGAACACCTCGGGGTCTCACATCCAAGTGTCCCAGGCTCAGAAATGGGCTCATGGTTTCTAAGGGAGCACATGGATCTTCAGCCCACCCAGAGGTGCATGGGGGGGTGGTGAAACAAGTCTGGGGCTGACATGCTGGGGGATGTGCTGAGCCCCAGCCTCTGGAAGAGCAGTGGGGGACCAAAGAGAGCTCTGAGCACCCTCACTAATTGTTAACCCACTGCAGTCCTTCCTCTAATTACTCCACCATCTCCCTCCTAGGCAGGGGCTTTGTAGCGCAGGCGTGGGGAGGAAGGGTCAGTGGGAGCAGCCCTGTTCCCTTGGGCTTCAGTTCCTCTCCATCACAACTTCAAAGGCCTCCCAAGATTCACAGCCAGGCTCCCCCCCATGCAACAACGCCTTTTGCATCGATAATTAAACTCTTATCAGCGCGGTTTGGCACTCCTGCTCCCCGCTGCCCAAAGACTAGCAGGCTCAGCTCTGCGGCCCCAAGCGGGTCTGCACACCCCACACCAGCCCCATTCCATGGGGGGACAACACAGGGAGGGTTATCCACAGCAGGAAGAAAGTCAGGGTACAGGAAAGGGACAGGGAAGGCTCCCTGAGAGAAGGGGGACAAGAGCCAGTGTCATTTATTTCCTGTAAGATCGAGCAGGACTTTGAAGGGGCAGATGGGGCCGGGTTGGGTCAGCTATTTGTGTCCCACCGTTTAATCCAAGAGCCTGCTGAATAGCCAGCTGCAACCTTTCCAAAGCTGAGACACAAAGCTGTGTCTTACCGGCCTTGGAACATGGCAGGAGGAAAGGACGGGAAGCTTCACTTTCAGCTTCCTGATCCCTGGGACAATATTTATCTTTAAGGAATGAAAAATAACCATTTATTCCCCCACACGGGAGGCCAAGCATTGGGGCTTAGAGGGAGGAGCAGCAAGCCTGGGAGGTAGTTCAGCTCTCCCCATGTGGGACCTGTGCACAGGGGATGTTCCCCACAAACCTGGGTCAGCACTGCAGCAGTGGGGTGCTGCTCTGCCAGACCAGAGACTGGATCCAGGTGGGATTTGTCCAGCAGCTGCTCATCCACAAGGCTGCACATCCTAAGGACACAGCAGGGATGGTGCTCACCTCAGCACCCACCGGCCTCGGCTGCCCAGAGAAGGAGTTTAGAAAAGCAAGGTGGGTAGATCTAAAAAAATGTCACCAAATGCAGGATTTCCACACTACTGGAAATGCCAGAATCAGGCTAGGGAAAAAAAAACCAACAACAACCCCTCCCCCCAAAACCAAACCAAAAAAAAAACCAAACAACCATCCAAAAAAAAAAAAAAAACCAAACCATAAACCAAAAACAACCAAAAAAAACAACCCCCCCCCCCCCCAAGAAAACCAAAAACAAGCTAAAAAGAAACATTTTCAAACGAAAGCAGTGCTGCTTTTTGGCCATGCCCTAATTCCCGTTTCAGGATTTCTTCTCAGACCTCCAGATTGTTGCTGTGAACTTCCTGTATTTAATTTTATATCGTTTTGTAATGCATCAGGAGCGGTAATGCCCATAAGGACTGCCCAGAGGGTCACCCCTTTTCACTATACCCAGAGCAGGAGATACTTTGATGTAGGAAGAAAGCTTGTTTGTTCAATCAGTGCTAATAAAAAGCTGCAGTTCAGGTTTTAAAAATAAAATTATCAA